ACCCCAGAGTCAGCCAAAGAGCTGGTGGGCAATCTGAGCGTCCCAGGGCAGGGATGAGCCATGTCGGCAGAGCGAGTGTGCTCAGAGCACTGGGCAGGCGGGTGCCTGGAAGCTGGGGACAACCAGGAGGCCACTCTCAGGCTGTAGGTACCTAAGGGTCCAGGCGAGGACCAGGCAGGGTCTCAGGGACAGAACCGATACTTATGGAGGGTCTGCCACCAGATGGCAACCGAGGGCATGGGGTAAAGGACACCCCCAGTTCCAAGCAGGGGAGACCATCCTGCTTTAGGTCTTTTAAAGACCATCAGCAAATGGTTTTGTTCAACGAGAAGCCTCTAAAGCTCTGGCTGTCAGGCACAGTGGGGAAGAAAAGCAGTTTCCAGTTTCTGGAAAACTAGGATACCCCTATTATGTTTTAAACAGTGCTGAATTTTGCACAAAAGCAATGACACAATCAAGGATATAGCTTCTGTTTAAGAATTAGGCAGCACATAAATATCACAGATGTTCTATGCAAGATTAATAGGCGACACTGGAACACTGAAGCCTTGACTCATTTGGAACAAAAATCCTGTGAACTGGGCAACGCCATACGGCACTCACTGGGAAATACTTCATCGTATCGTAGTCTTGACTTTCAACAACCGAGACCCAAGAATGTACCATCCAAGCCAGGCTCTGCTGAGACCCAGTGAGGTCGGGGGGCTGTTAACAGTGACCCTGGACCCAATGGGGAGGAAAACTGGACATACGGGCACCCCCATATACATATGTAAGGTGCTTTCGTTTTGAGACTGTGATTTTAGTAATGAATTCAGCTCATGGGTCCCCACATCCCCCTTCCCAGGGAGGTGTCCTGGACACAGCCCGTGAACCCCATGGCTGAAAGGGACCCCATTGTCCAAAATGATTGCCGCCGTCTCATGACACATCCCTGGTCTTGGGCTAGGATGGCCAGACTCAATCTCCAGAGCTGTGACCATGAGGAAGTAATACCATAGGCCCTCTTCTCTGGACTGGTTTTTCCTTCCCTCAAAAGCACTTAATGAAAGAAAACAATTGCTTTTTATTTAAATGGATCCTGCTGTTGCTCACCTGGTACTCTTCTTTCCTTCCTCCTGGCTCCGCTGGAAGTGCTGGGACCGGCTGAGGCAGGCTTCCTACAAGAGGAGAGAGAGCGACCTTGTTCAACCTTGTTCATCGTAGCCCAGGAAGCACAGGGGGCCCTGAGTACCTCCGCCAGCTGGGGCTCGGGCTTACTCGGGACGGCCCAGTCCCAGTGCCGCCTGAGGACAATCTCAGGAAGGCTGGGCCACCTCAACGGGAAGAGTGACACAGGCAGCTGCCAGCCCCAGCCACTTGGGGCAACACAGCGTAGCTGAACACCTGAGCTGAGAAGGGACGAGTGACAAGAGCCGTGTGGAAGAGATCGCGCAGCTGTGCTCCGTGTCGACCATCTGAAATCAGCCACGGGTTCGTTCGTTCCCCAGACGTTTGTGTGCCTGCTGCGCGCCTCTGGGGACGCAGCGGTGAACAAAGCAGGGTTCCTCCCCAGAGGGGGAAGATCAGCATGTTCCTCAACAGGCAAGTGTGGAGTGGCCCAGGCAGGTACAGAGCTGGGGGGATGGGTGTGACAAAGTGCAGCAGGCTCAGGTACGTGACAGAGGACATCCTGAGACAATGGTTCAACAAGGGCCTGGGCACTGGGGTGAGAACACTGTGGACACAGGAATTGAGCAGCCTTGTGGTTTAATTACAGAAGATGAACAGGGACACGAAGTCAGGGAGGACAGTTGGGCCAGGCTGTGAGAGTCCTGAAATCTAGCTTAAGGGCTCAGCCCTGTTCCTACAGCCCAGGGCTGGGCAACCTTTCTCTGTAAAGGGCCAGACGGTGAATATTTGTAGCTCTGTAGGTCACCTGGGCACTGCTGAAACTAGAAACTAATCAACGTTGCTGTTCTAACATGAAAGCGGCCACGGATGGTAGAGAATGCAATGGATGAGCTATGTCCCAATAAAACTTTATTTACAGGCAGTGACGTTTGAAATTCATAGTTTTCATGTGTCATGAAAATTCTTTTGATTTTTCACAACCATTTAAAAATGTACAAACCATTCTTAGCTTACCAGCCTAACAAAAAGGAGGCACTTTGTTAGAGTGGGGGCTCATGGCAGGGGTTGAAGAAAGATCTTTCACAGAGAGTTTAGGATAGAAAGAAATACAATGCTTATTTTTCAGGGGGAGGGGGGAAGGAGGGCGTGGCCACAGCCCCTAACAGAGGAGTGAAAAGTGCAGGCAGTTGAGGAAAGTTGTTTGGGTTTTAAAGGGTAAAAATGGGGTTTTTCCCTCTGCTTCAGTAGCCTGAGAACAGAAGTGGTGGCAAAGCTGTGTAGGTGTTTTTTATTTCTTTTTCTCTGAGAAACCAGCTTATCTGAGTCTTTGAAATCAGTTTTTTGGGCAGGATCTGAGGCAGAGAGTTGGAGTGGGGAGCTCGCATCCCCACCGTCTGCTTAGGGCCTTTCAAGGCTATGGCAAAACTTACCGAGTTGGAGCACAGGTGTTTTAATTAAAACAAAGGGGGCCGGGCGCGGTGGCTCATGCCTGTAATCCTAGCACTCTGGGAGGCCGAGGCGGGCGGATTGTTTGAGCTCAGGAGTTCGAAACCAGCCTGAGCAACAGCAAGACCCCGTCTCTACTAAAAATAGAAAGAAATTAATCGGACAACTAAAAATATATAGAAAAAAATTAACCAGGCATGGTGGCGCGTGCCTGTAGTCCCAGCTACTCGGGAGGCTAGGCAGAAGAATCGCTTGAGCCCAGGAGTTTGAGGTTGCTGTGAGCTAGGATGACGCCACGACACTCTAGCCCGGGGCAACAGAGTGAGACTCTGTCTCAAAAAAAACAAAAACAAAAAAAAAAAAAGGGTAGTTGTGGTGTGAGTTTTTTCTTTAAAGGGGCAATTATGTGTTGTGAGTTATTTTTCTTAGTTTCAGTTTGATCGGTTGCTAGTAAGGCCACTGTTTACTCTAGCTTTCACCTGCAGCCTACAGGGGGCTGAGCCCTGCTGTGGGCAACAGGGAGATTGGGAGGAGATGGATGTCAGAGCTGGGCTTCAGGAAAACCACCGGCAGCTGGTAGGAAGACGGGCTCTAATGTTCCAGGAGGACAGGGACCAGTCTGCTGTTGCTCCTTACTGGACCCGATGGCCTGTGTATTAGTCTGTGTGGGCTGCAAAATACCAAAGACTGGGTGGCTTAAACAATGTATGTTTATTTCTCATCATTCTGGAAGCCAGAGGCTGAGCTCGAGGTGCTGGCAAGGCGGGTTTCATTCTCAAGCCTATTCTCTTGGCTTGTAGGTGGCCGCGATCTCCCTGTGTGCTCACATGACCCCTGTGGGCGCACGAGCAGAGTGTCAGCCAGTGAGCTGTCTGGTGTCTCTCCCCATGGGATACGGATCCTACTGGATCTGAAGACATTACCGATTGTCACACAAAGGGGGAGCTATGGGCACAGTGGTGGAGGCCAGGGATGCTGTGCTAATGGGGACGGGGTTTCCTTTTGAAGTGTTAAAAATCTGAAACTAATGGTTTCACACACTGTGAACATGCTAAATGTCACTTAATTGTACCTTTTAAGAGTGTTAATTTCACGCTATGTGCATTTAACTTCAACTGAAACACAGAAAGAGTGACACCTGATGTCATAGGAAAGCAGGGGCTGTGAGACAGGAATTGCTGACTAACCAGCTGTGGGGGTGCGGGAGAATCCGGAATGACTCCTGGGTTTCAGCCAGAGTGGGAGGAGGAGGAAGCCAGGAACAGAGATCAGTGGCACAGGAGGAGCAGGGACAAGGCCTGGCACTGGAACTCCTGCTGCCACCACTAGGAGCGGCTCCAGTGGCACTGCAGCCACCTCCTCTGCAGTGGGCTCCTGGAACCCCCAAGTGAGACCCGGGAAGCGTTGGGGGCACCTCCGGCCCATCGAGGGGAGAGGCAACTTAACAAATGTTCGCCAGGTGCCAGCAGCTGTGCTCGTTCACGGGATCCTCTCAACCCTACAGATTCCCAACTGTTCACCTGCTTTCTCCTCGTTTTCCAGACCAGCATCTGAGGTTTACCCCGGTCACCCCTGGTGAGTCTCAGAGGCAGGAAGGGACAGAACCCGGATTCCCTCTGGAATCTGAGCCAGGGCTCTGGAGTCAAACCCAACGGGCTCCAGGCCCAACCTGCTGGGACCGGCGGGGAGTCACTACACCTGTGTGAGCCTCAGGCACCTCACCTGTTACTGGGAGGCACTGATGTCAACCTCACAGCTCCAGCAAGGGGCAGTGGAGCGATTCCTCCCGCTGGCCTATTCCACGTCAATTCACGCCAAGGACTATAAACATTGGCCAAATTGACAAACTAGACAAACAGCTGCAGGATCAGGCCTGGCACCCAGGAAAGTGCTCAACTTCTTTCTTGCTCGTGCTGTGTAACCCTGGGCAAATGACTTCGCCTCCCCGAGTCTCCATCGTCTCCTCCGTAAACGGGGAGCACAGACTAAAGCGGGACGGAGGACTAAAGGAGATACTTTAGTTGTCACTTGCTCACTGCGACAATTCTAAGAGCCACAGCCCAGTTAAGACTCAGGCGCTGTTCTAAGCGGCTTTACGCCTCACGGCCCCTACGAGGTTGTGCAGCATCATCAGCCCCATTTCGCAATGCGGCAAAGCGACGCACAGACAGGTTAGGCGACTCGCCCGCGGTCGCCCAGTGTCAAAGCCCGGGATGCGAAACTTGGTCCAGCGCCGCGCTCCTGAGCATGCGCAGACCCCGAGCGCCGCGGGGGCCTCCTAGGGCCTGCCCTTCCGGAGCGGCTCTAGGAGGGGTCGGCTCCGGACTCGCCCCGAGGGCCCCCACTCCCCAGCTGTGCCTCCCGGTCCGCCCCGGCCCTCGGCCCCGCCTGTCCTTCTGGCACCCACACATCCATGCCCGCGGCGCCTCCACTCACCCAGCGCCACGCTCGAAGGAATCCGCCATTTTCCCGCCTTCCACTCAGAGGCGGCTTTTCTCGGTAGGCCCCGCCCCCTCACTGCGGGTCGGACCAATCGCAGAGCGTGTCGCCCGCTGCGCACGCGCCGCCTTTCCCCTCCTCCCCTCGCACTTGGTCTCGTCCACGAGCGCCGGAGGGGATGGCGGCGGCGGGTGGGGCCGAATGTCTGGGAAGGGGCGTGGCGTTCACGGCGCTCCGCCCCGTGACGCGCTCGACGTTTCTCCCGGCCCCTCCCCTCCGGAACCCGGAAGCCGGAGCGCGCGGGGGAGCGGCGGGCGCGCGGGGCGGAGCGGCCGGAGGCGAGGCGGGCGGGTTTGCTGGCGGGCGTCCGGGCGGGGACCCGGCCCGCGACCGCGGCGCGGGGCGGCCGAGGCCCAGGTGAGTCCCAGGCGGCCGCGGCTTGGGGATTCGAGCTCCAAGGGCGCGTTGGGGGCTGCAGAGAAGAGAGGGACGGAGCCCTGAGGGTGACCGGGACGCGACGGCAGGGGTCCAGGGGGCGGGAAACAGCCTGGGGGTCGTGGGGAGGCTGCAGGCGACGAAGTGGAAGCGAGACGAGCGAGAAGAAAGTTAGTTGGGATGGGGGCTGGTGAGGGAGTTTGCGGGCGTGGGAGGGGTGAGTCTTGTGGCTTTGAGCAGCTTCTGCGAAGAGGACGTGGCTTAAGTGGTAATTGGGGGGTCGCAGGAAACGAGGTTTGGGGAGGCGAGGAGGCGGGGTTGAGAGGCCCAGGCTGGGGGAGGGGGCCGGGCCGATGGGGGAACAGCTGGGGAGCGGTGGGGGGAAGGGGTACAGGACCGGTCTGGGGGAGTCCACCCGCGCGATTGAAGCGCCAGAGGAAGGGCGCCTGGCACCCAGTGGGCGCTCAATAAAGGCAAGAGGTTCTGAACCCACTGATGTGGCAGCGACTGCTGGGAAGGGGGGAAGTGGGGCTGGAAGGGAGAAAAGAGGGTTAGAAGTCATGGCAAGAACCGAGGGAGGTCCAGGCGGGGCCTGGAGAGGAGGGGAGAGAAGGAAAGGGCTAGAATGCCCCATGCAGATGTTGGGGTGCAGCTGCTGGAGATTCCACCCCCCATCTGTCTTGATTCCTCTCCTTCCTGACTTCACACCCAACAGCTGGGTGACCCAGGCAAGTCCCAGCAGCCTGTGTAGCAGTCGCCTGGTCTTGGAAAGTGCACCACTCTCCTCTTAAAACTGGCAGGATTCGGGGGTTCCAAGGAGCAAGGAAGGAGCCTCAGGGCTTGCAGTGGGGCCGGAACTGTGTTTCAGGAGGGCGGGAGCCGGTGTGTGCTCACCCGAGTGTGCAGGGCTGTCACCACCTCCACGGAGTTGCATCCTTGGACATAAGTGGGTAAAAAGACATACAGGAAATCTGTCCCCAGGCGGCCGTGAGCTCGGTCCTGGAGAGACTGGGCAGCTGGTGCCCTCCCTTCTTTCCTGGGCACCCCATAGTCCTGGGGTCTTTAAGGGAAGACCTCTCTGTGCCTCTTTGTCTGAGGCGGCAGCTGGTGGGGACAATGTGCTTTGCAGCCAGAGGGTCCCAGCTCCACCTTCCCGAGTTCGTTTTTGGTCTTCAGGTCTCCAGAGTCTTAAGGTGTCCAGGAGCAGCGAGCCGGAGGTGACCTGGCAGCTGGAGAGTTATTCCACCGTCTGACGGGTCTGACTCTGGCTCTGGCAAGGGTCTCTGGTTGTTTTTATCGGCATTAATGTGTCTCCTTTCCCGACTGCAGGGATCTTTGTCAGGAGCTGCCAGAAGTGCTGGGGAGCCCAGGTGCGTGTCTGGTTTATTATAGCAGGTTCAGGAGGCGAATCTGCATAGTTTGGATATAGAGAGAGTCACAGGGATGTAATCACCTGTTGCACTTCCAAAACGCTCTGGCTTTTATGAAAGGTGGCTTTGGGCCTTGCTTGCCCAAGGGCACGATTACAGCCCACAGTCGTGCCTCCCGCAGACATGAGTAGGGACTCGCCCTGGCCAAGACACTCTGATGATCAGGTCTGGAGTCTTCTGATCCCAGGGCCCCGGTATTGCGTCCTCCCTGCTGTAGGAGTGTGCCTAGGCAGGGTTTCGTGTGTTGGAGGTCCTGGCCTCCGTCAAGTCTCTGCCTGTTTCTGCGCCTGCAAAATGAACGGGTTGGCCTCCATCAGCATTTTTCAACCTCAAAACCCAACCCCTCTCAGTTTCATCTCCAGTACACACGCCACTTGGACTTCACACAGCCCCCGACTCTCAATTCTTTGCTACAGTGATCCTGCTTTTGTACGACTTTCCGTGCAACAGTTCACATGCAAGAGCGACGTTTGACAACTTCCTTATCTTCGACATAGGAAATCATGGTGCTGAATGAGCTTCGGCACGTTGCACCTGTTCCCAGAGCTTTGGCCGCAGCCTTCTGGTTGGAAATCCTAAGCAAGGCCCTCCCTCGGGTCCTGCATGGTGACTCCCCCGTTCCTGTTTGTCTGCAGGATTCATTTTTCTCTCCCCAGCAGGGGCTTGCTAACTTGCTGCTTCCTGTTCCTCATCTCTCCAAAGTGGTGTCTTGGGTGGGCCCCAAATTCAGTTAAGGGCTGATCATGCCAGGCACTTGGCTGGTTCCCAGGGACAGAGATGAGCCCTCGTGCCCTGGAAGAGAGACATGGTGGTGCCCTCTCCATGGAAAGAATGGAGTTCAGATCAGGCGGCCAGTGCAGCCACACAGGTGGCACAAGATACTGTGGGGGCAGGATTAGGGACAGCCGGCACAAGCTTTGGGACGAGTGGGATCCCAGCAAGTTTGCTCGGAAGCGGTGGCCGGCCCCGAGTCAAAGCTGGAAAGGTACCGAGTGTTACCCCGAGCCAGGAAGAGGGGATCGCACGAGCAGAGCCCTTTACCGCACATCTTCTACGGTAGATGCTTTTACGCGTCCCGACTCTCTTATTCGGCCACCCACCGGCAAAGAGGGTCCTTGTTCCTGTTTTCCTGACACAGAAACAGGCCCAGGCAGGCGATGACTTCAGAGATGGCTCCTTGGGCTTTCTAGAGCACAGTGGATCGTTAGTAACCCTTCGTTGGTGAGGCCCAGGTCTCTGGACATTTCAGGCTGGGTCGTTCTTTGCCTTGGGGCCGTCCTGTGCACTGCAGGGTGCTGAACAGCATCCCTGGTCTTTGTTGGTGAGACCCAGTAGTATTTCCTCCCCCTGAGTTGTAAGATCCCAAAAATGTCTCTAGACGTGGCCATGTGTCCCCTGGGGACAGAATCACCCCCACCCCCAGGTGGGAACTGATGCTCTGTACTAAGGTCTGGTTCTCGCCTGGAGCCCACCACTGCCCCAGTGGGTCTTTGGTGTTTGTGGAGCTCCTGACAAACTGCCACCAAGGATGGGAGTGGGCGCAGAGACCAGGAAGCGAATTCTGCTGGCCGGTCAATTCTTAATTTGTAGGGAGCCGGTCTCGATAAAAAGGGGGAACAGACGTAGGGGGAGTTAGACAGTGTGCCCAAGGATGGACAGAGAGTGGCCTTGTCTCTCTCTTCTTTGTGTGACCACTGACCTGGATTTCTGAAGGACCCGTCCTCGTCTCAGAGTAAACTGTTGCTTTTCTCCCAAGATTAGAGATACTAGATTCTTTTCCCAAGAGCTACTTTTGGAGGTTGCCCCAGATACACATGGCTTTTGTCAGCGGAATCATCCCCTCTTGCCCTTTCAGCTCAAGCCGCCCATCCGTTCCCAAGCACACACTGTTGAATTTTTGTTCTTGATGCGCCCTTGCCTCGCCATCCCCTCCTCTGTTCTGCCCCTCCCCATCCGACCATGACATTGCCACTTCACCTCGATGGGAGGAGACAGCATGCTCTGGGGCCATAGGGCCTATGATCCCTTCTGGGCGCTGCCCCCGCGCCCCACCCACAGCCCTCTGTGTGCCCAGAGTCCCCAGCCCAACTGTGCCAGGCAACCCCTGCTCTGCCGGCCATTCAGATGGCCCCAGGCGGCCTCTCCGCAGAGCAAGACAGGCCCTTCTCTTCTGCCCTCCTTGTCCCCAGAGTGGCAGAACAAAGGGCTCTGTCTCTGCACCAGCCCACCGCCACCACGGCTCGGAGCCCTGTTCGTTCCTTTTGGGTTTTCATCCTGGCCGGGAAGGAGCCTCAGAGATTAGCCATGTTTCAGAAATGCAGCCGATGAGTTTGGGTTCTACTCATTTCCTAGGCGAGACTTTCTGAGTCCGAGCCCAGTGATAAATAAAGTAGTGATTCAAAGGTTCAGCCTGTGGGTTCGTCGGCTCGATTAATAAGCTGTCCTTGTCTGACTCATCCATTTACAGCCCGGCTCTGCCCTGCTCACAGGGTTGTGTGTGCAAAGAGAGCCAGCTACGGGGATTTCGTTACTGGGTGTATGAGTTTGCTAGGACTCCCATAACAAAGAACCACAGGCGAGGTGGCCTAAACAACAGAAATTTATTAGCTCATGGTTCTGGAGGGCAGACGTCCCAGATCAAGGTGTTGGCAGGTTTTATTTCTCCTGTGGGCTGTGAGAATCCATCCCAGGGTTCTCTTGCTGCTTTGTATGTGGCCATCTTCTCCCTGTGTCTTCTCTTCGTCCACCCCAGTGCCTGTATCTGTGTCCATATTTCCTCTTACACAGGCACCAGTTATATGGACAGAGACCCACCCTAGTGACTTCATTTTAAATTAATCATCCTTATAAAGACCCCATCTCCAAACACAGTCACGTTCTGAAGTACTGAGGTTTAGGACTTCAACATATGAATATTTGGGGTGGGGGGAGGATGCCGTCCAGCCCAGCCCGTAACACGGAGGAGGAGGAAAATCTCATTTTTAGACAGTAAAGCAATTTTGGGAAAACGGTCATGCCAACAGAGAATAATTTCATCTTGTTTTGTCTCCTTTAAATAACTACTTTAAGAGGTGGGCAGGTTGGTTGGTCACGTCAATTTTGGAAGCTCCTTTTGGGGAATTTTCTAGATCTTGCACTCGTACGTTCAGGGGTGACTAACTAGAGGCGAAGACCCAGCCCAGGGAGGAATGGATCTTGGGGGGTTTTAGCAGGGGGATGTATTTGTATTTAGAGCCAGGCATAGGCGGCTGTGTGTGCCCAGCAGGGCATGGGTCTCTGTTCTCAGTATTCACATGGTCTCATGGAGGGGCATCCAAAAGCAACTCCATTAATGGACCAAAGTGACCTCGGGACCATCTGCTGCCACAAGCGATTAGACGGAAGAAGTTTCTGGAAGATCTTCAAGTGCCTCAGCAAAAAGGAAGTGTTGGCTGGGAGCCAGACTCAGAGCCGGCCCCTGGGAATACTGAGAACAGAAAACAGCCCTCGTCTCTGCCCAGACGTCCAGCCAGGAGTCACACGTACAGAAGTCAAATTAACAGCCCAGGGACT